ATTTGATTATGATGATGGCTATAGAATGATAAAGTAATAAACACAAATACCTATCGCTCGTATTTCATCGAGGTTGAACTGCTGCCCAATGTTAATTGTATTGACAGCTGAAAAATAAGAAAGAAATAGATCAAAATAGAACAGAGCAGAGTAGAGCACTAAGCAGAGCAGAAAACAGTGCAGAGAAAAACAGAAAACAGTCGAAAACAGTGCAGTTTAGAACAGAGAAGAGCAAATAACTTACGTCCAAAGCCGTATATCTCAACGCCCATACAAGGGTACCGATAGTAGTCTCGAGGGTAAAAACGTACAAATCTGTAAGGTAACGTTACATATAGAGGACTTTCTTTTCCAGTACGAGATGCTGAAAATTCCTGGAAACAAAACCAACAAACAACATGAAAAAAAACCCTTAAAATAGATGCAGAACCTGAATATAGAAGATTTCAGAAATATCGTCTCTAGTGCCGACATAGGAAAATCAATGCAAATCTAGTCTAAGTGCTCCAGTCTTTTGCCTGGACAATTAACCACTTGAGGGTTAAGGAAAGGCAAGCAAGATATCAAAGTTTTGATTCTGTACCTTAATTTTACCGCTATGTTTRATAGGGTAAAATGTTCTCCCGTTATCAGAGAGACTGATGGTGTACTTTTTGACCCATTCGTTTCTCTTAGCAGTGTTTCCTTGTACRGAAACTGAGCAGATATAGTAGGGAAGGCCAAGGTCAACCTGTAGCCAGGAACCTCGAGCGTTTTGTCTGCTTGGACACCACACCTGAGATGGTAATAGAATTGTGTTTAGGATGTACTTAGAGCTATTCAATGGACTTTTTAACATTTTATTCTTTTATTCTTACAAAAAAATGATGGGAAATGTTGGCTTTTGCCTTGGTTAAGAACAAGACACGGGAGAAATATTTGATCATTGAGCTCCATAAAATATTTGGTCGTGCAGCAATTCTCAATAATATAACAATTATCACTGGTGCGAAACATCAAGGAAGATGAAAAATGGAAGAAAATAAAATCAAATAAAATTATAGCAAGGATTGAAAATAGGAAACATTAAAAAAAATGTACCTCGCCATTACCAAGCCTGCCATTTCTAGCAAGGCTACGTTCACTGTATCGACTTGACGCAGTTATCCTGTCATCGCTGATTTTTTTCACTCGATTAAGCGGTTGTAYTACTCCTACTCCCAGTGGAAGGGCTTTGACTTGGCAATCTACAGATCATTAAAACACGAGGGCAGATATTTTTCAATAGGCCATTTGTATCAGAAGGTTACATGGTACAAAATCCACCATATTGGATGGCAACCAAGAATGTTTTTGGCTATAACACTGGAAAAAATCCATAATATTTACATCAAATTTACAACCTTTTAAAGGGCGCGATTTTTTCCAGTGTAAATTACATGGAGACAACAATGGAAAAGTTTATCAATTTACCGAGTCCGTAAATTTAGAAAATTTACAGAAAAAATGTCCTTTTAAAAACTTTGTAAATTGATTTTACAAGATATTCACAATGTTTGATCGAGCACAATTTACAAGATATTTACAAAATGTACATAAAATTTACAAACTTTGCAAAAGGACATTTTGTCTGTGAATTAAATCTAGAGTATATTTACATATTATTTGCAAACTTTGTAAACTAAGTGTGTATCAAATTGTTTTAATGTTCTTACTTGGGGTAACATTGTACTGGGCCGCTCGTACACGTCCCATTACCGTCCCTGCGGCATAAACAGGATCCTTRTTTGCGTCGATTCCAAAATTGGCCAGAACTTCCATTCCAACAGTGACATCCTTCTCCTGCATTGCTTTGTCCAAAGCAGCTTCGTACTTCAAGAACTCATGGTTTTTCTTTGCCTGGTCACTTTTCAGTACCACAATAATCTTCGATTCGGTTGAGTTCACGAGATCTGCTCTTTGCCAGTCTTGTCTACCGTTCCAAGAAGCTGGAACTATGTATGAATCTGAACAGGGATAAAGAGGAAATATGGGTTAAGCTGATTAACAGCGCTGTAACAAGCGTGAACTTGCAATAGTCTCCTTCACGGTTCTCCACGCMATCTTGAAAGGTAGCTGTGCCTTTACATCAAAGCGAGATGACCCTTGAGCGTGCAATGATAGATACCTGTGAATAATTGTCTGTGGGGGTGAAAGAAGGTTTCTATCATTGCACGCTCAACGGTTGTCTCGCTTCGATGCAAAGGCAAGGCTATCTTTCAAGATGGCGCACGGAACCGCCAAGAAGATTATTGCATGCAAAATGTTAAGCTAATGTGGATGAGGAATTGTACATAGATTAACTTTTCATGCTATATTTGCTTGATGACATGATTTGAAACCGAGTCAAAAGTTTGCAACACAGGATGGTGAGTGTTTAGTTAGTTAATTCGAATAAGAGCATTGCCATCAGCTTTCTGATTTGAAGATGATAAAAGCTAAACAGCATTAAAAATATGCATGGCGAACGGTGATATATTTTTTTACAAACATATCCCCCTGAGAGACACTGATGAATAGCAATACAAACGACTGTTACGCTAAAACTTGATTTGTGTAGTATGCTGCGCACAAGAAATGATGCCTGGATGTTGCGCGAGAAGTTCCCTTGAGATTTTTCTCATGAATAACATGTTATGTTATCAATAGAACTACCTTTGTCTTGGAGYAACGATGTACTGAAGGAGGGAAAAGCGACCACAATTAAAAGAAATAACCACGTCTTTGTTGATGTGTACATCAGAAAGACTTCAAGACGTGCGGTCGTGTACGCGCGCTTTCAGATGTCACCGCCCATTGATACGTCAATTCTAGAATTCTCCAATTTTGACGATAATTACGAATAGAACGATTCCCTGAAAATTGAGAAAAAAAATTAAAGTAAATTATAATAATCGAGAAATTACAAAAGAAAAAAAAACATATGTTTAATCTCACCTTTTAGAACTATCACAGTAAAGAATTTCTGCAAGACTAGTAAAACAAAAACAAACTAACCAAGCGAATTTGGATAAAAGGGCTATTATCAGCCAGGATGCAACGCGGTCGTGGCTCCATTTATCAACACGCGGAAAATCAGTTACTTTAAAGTCATCTTGGGGAAAAATACACTAGGAATAATTCATATTTGACCAAGTAAGGCAAGTTTTCTTTTTCCAAAACTTCTGCTTCAATTTTTGATGGACAATTATGACATACAAACGTACATAATAAAATAGATATCCACTTTAATTGACCCTAATAATATAATATTATATAACTCTGTACACGCATGGTAAATAAGAGCTATTTGGTTGGTTTAGAGTCATTACACGTWCAGCGAAAACCAAAGTATCGCGCGCGACCAAGATATTTTCATATTCGTTTGGTKGATTTTTTTTTCAGCGACTTAGTAGTATAAAAAGGCTGTTAAAAATACTTTAATTAACGTATATTTGTATACAAATGTCTTCTACTTGTGAAATATTGTATTTGTATAGCCTAAATGAAGTTGATTGTTCTGTTGAAACTCTTCTCCAAGTTGCAGCAAAATCCTGATACACATATTTTTGTTATCTCTATTAGTTCATAAGAATAAATCTATAGGTAAAGCTACTGTACATGGAAAGTTTTGCTTCGGCTGAAAAACATTTTCATAAAAAATACATATTTTCTTTTTTTGTAGTTTAAAAATAAAAACGAATTCAAATGTAAGCTATAGCCATTTGATTTAGCCTATTTAAGTTCTAGCATTCCTTTAGAGTTGTAATAYATAATGCTATATAACGCTACAGTAAACTATGTCTGATAATATTAGAGGTATATGTAACAATACTTTAGTTTAAATGTTCTAGAGAGTGTCTATTGCTTTAAAAATTGTGACTAACTGCATCTAAAATTGTATTAATATAGACTGGAACAGCTATATATACCAATACTTAAGTTAAAGCGTTCCTGTATAGTGTTTCTATGTTCTGATATACTTAAGTTCATAATGTSCCCGTAGTTTGATTGCATACGAAACTCAGCCATTCACTGGAAAAAATAGAGCGCTTTAAAGGTTGTAAATTTGATGTAAATATGATGTAAGTGTCCAAAATTCTGTAAATTTGATGTAAATGATTGCCATTAAATTTACAGAATATTGGACACTTACATCATATTTACACCAAATTTACAACCTTTAAAGCGCGCGATTTTTTTCCAGTGGATTGTGTGGTGGATTGTATTATGTGTCTTTTTCTCCATTATTGCAAGGTAGTACGTTAAAGCCTTTGACTGCATCGCTTTGTAGTTTTAAAGCTCTGGATTGCAGGTATACACCACCAATACAACCGTTGTAGTTATAGGAGTATACGCCGTAYGTCAGACTCTCGATGTCAGGACCACCGCCTGAATGAAAAAAAGAATAAAGAAAATAAAATAAAGAAAAAAATGAAAAAAAAGGTAGATAAATAAACAAATGAATAGACGGTTGAGTAAATTATTGAATGAATGAATAAATAAACGGATGAATGGGACAATGAATGGTCTCTTGGTAAAACAAAAAACTGACGGAAAAAAGGTAAATAAATAAACGAATGAATAGGTTGAATTGATTATTTAATGAGTGAACAGATAAACGGATGGATGGGAAAATGAATGGCCCGTATACTTACCAATGAATATTGGTCCTGGGCTGTTAAGGCTTCTTGCTCCTTGAGGAGAAGTGCCATTGACTATTTCGTCTTTRTCGACGAGCAACGAACCCTTTTGACTTTGCCTGAAATGACGCAGAGTAAATGATAGGTATGCTTACAGGGGAGGAGATAGATAGGATTTTCTTGAGTAAAAAAAACGCATTGAACTGGACTTTGATTTAAGGATAACCTCGAGACTTAACACCATCTTATAATAATAATAAAAAACTTTTATCCTTATGCGAAGGACCTGATGAAAAGAAGTAGCAGAGAGATAAAGTAAAAGCCAGAAAGAAGAGGACGAATAAGGAAGCAGAAAAACAACAAAAACAATAAAAGCGAAAAAATGTTCTGTTGTAGCGTGTACAAAGTACAAAAATTATTTTGTTTAAAAAAACATTAATGTTCATAAATATTAAAATATTTCAGCACACACAACATCGTGTCATGTGTATATTCTAAATATTTACTAAGGTATTTATGTACGTTGTCTTACCTGTATATCTTGACGTAATGCCATACACCATCGTTCACTGGGCGCCKAGACTTAATTATAGCTGACCCAGCCCCTAAATTGTACCTGAAAAAAAGATATTGTACAGATGCTCGGTTACTATCTTTGTTTTCCTGCAAATCGCACATTCACACCTAGAGAGTGATCTAGAGAGTGTGAAATCGAATAAGACATGTCTGTTTTCTTACCGAAATTGCAGATAACCATTGTCAAGCCCAATAACAAGGTAGTCTCCTCTGGAAGCGCCAATTTTCTATAAAATAATATTTTAACTTGATATAAGCTGTAATAAAGTTATATCATATTATAAGTCAAATTCCAAAAGATTTCATATCATTTGTACCTGGCCTTGCCAATAAATGAGTCCATTGTTTGACTTGGTCTTGATATTCAGGGTGATTGTCTCCAACTTACCAAGRCTAAAGAAAAAAAACAAACGTCTGACAAAACTATCATATAATAATGAACCCGCAGCTCACTTTCTTATGATCAGCGGTTGCGAGAAGTCTTTAGAAAGACTGTTAGATTTACTTGACGTTTTGACGTTTTGACATCCTCTAGAGATAACTTCCATTCAGAATATAGAAACGTAAGGAAATATAACAGATTTTCTAATGACTTCTCGCGCGTGGTTGAACACACAACATAGCCAGTGTGCAGCGACGCCATTTTGTGCAGCAAAGCATGATGGGGGTTGTAGTCCTCGCACATTATCATGTCCGTTAACCGTTTTTGCTCTTTCTTTACAAAATAGAAGWAAGTGAGCCGTTTCTATAAAGAAAATACAAAACTRAMYGRA